GAGCGCCGCCGCGCTTCCCAAGCGGCGCACCATCCAGTGCGCCACCGGGCCGGCCCCCATTTTTCTAAATTGTATCAATTATAAGGTCTCTGTATAAGTTTTCTGTATTAGTCTCTGTTTTTTATATTTTTTTTCCAAATTGGGTGGTTTATCTTCTAAATCAGCTTGCTGTTTTTGAAGTAGATGTATTCTTCATATTTTTGTTGTCAAATCATTACTTTGTTGATTTCTTCCATTATATATATATTTTTTGTATATTTTGAGTTTTTTAATTGGTTCACAGTTTTTAAGTGCATCTATAATTTATTCTGTTGTATAATGTAGAGCTTATTTTTTCTCTGATTCCTCCTACTGACTGAAACAGATGTGCTTGCCTGCTGTTTATTTTAAGTCAAGTAGGAATTGAACTGGGCACTGTCAGAACTCATGTGTGGCACCCTTTGGCTCCCAGCACACACACACACACACACACACACACACACTTCTCAGAAGGACCCCACCTCCCATACATTAAAATTTTGGCCACCAAGTGGCAACTGGGAGCCCCATCTCTTCTGCTGCGGAGGGTCCAGCATCAATCCATAAAGAGAACCACTCCCCCAGACTGTTCCCTCTTTGGGGGATACATCAGCACCTCTACCCACTGCTGGAGGGGTGCCAGTATTGCCAGTACACACAGTAAAAAGGCACCCTCCCTGCCTCTTGTCTGTGAGATAATCACAGCCTTTACCTCAGAGTCAGGAGGGTGTTAGTTACCTCAGGAAGAGCACTGTTGATTTTTTTCCAATTTAGATCCACTGGCATTGTATTAAACTGAAGTTATTCCTAGTTTTGTTACAGATTATCTTTATTTTCCCTACTTATAGATATGTTTACCTTTTTGAATGTTATGGTTGTTATTTTAATTCAAAATTGGGAACATGAGTCCCTGGGTCCTTGGGCTCATACATACCATAGTCTTCCTTGGGAATCCACCCAAGGTAGATTTTCTGTAATAGGTATTTTTAATCTTTAGGTGTTAACAATGATTTAGTCACAGATGAAAAAGAAACCAGTGAAGCATCCATATCTAAAAAGAGTTCTCAAGACCCTAGTCAAGATCTAAAGTATTCAGACGGAGGTAAATTAATATTTGAGTAATTTGATTCTCTTAGATGGTGGTTCTAAAAAACCCAAGTAGCTCCTTAAGTAGAATTTAGAAGGTGAAATGTGTGATTTTTTTAAAAAGCATTATTAATACCCAACTTACTCTATCTTAAAGGTCACTCTATTATGAACAGTTTGACATGCAGGAATATTGAAAAAATAACACACCATATATTGTTTTGGTGAAAAAGAATATTGGGGAGACAAGTGATCTGTCTTTCTGCTCTGCCATCCCTGGTTGTGGCTACCACAATAATTCACAAGATTATTGATGGAGCTCCAGCCATTATGTCAGTGCATACCGAGCAGGAAGAGGGGGAAACGCATGGGACAAAAACTGGTACTCCACCCAGCTGAATCAACTCTCTTAAAGAGATGACAGGAAGACTTGCAAGAAGAGAAGGAAAAAAAATTCACTTGCATCTTATTGGCCATCCAAGCTCTAAGGGAAGTTGGGAGATGTAAAGCGTAGTTTTCTTAGCTGGGTACATTGCTGGCCTTGACAAAATCAGAGTTCTGTTACAAAGGAAAAGGAGAATGGATATTGGGTGGGTAACTAGCAGCTCCTGGCACATTTGGCATATTTGCCCAGCTATTTCTGCCTCACCATGCCCACCCTCCAACGGATACAGGAAGATCATGGGCTTTTGACTCTTCTGCTCTGGCTCTCCAGGAACTGTGGCTCTCTCCATCCCTGGGAACACATTAAAGCAGGGAGGGCAGCAAGCAGCTGCTCTTTGGAGGCCCTTTTGGGGTTTTCTGGGTTGGGATCAACTGGGCTCTGCCAGAAACTCTACAGATGGAGCCCTGAGGCAGCAGCTCAGAAGCATAACTGGAACTGCAGAAGTATAGGAGTCAGGGGGAGCTGCCCAGCTCCTGTCTCCTTGGAGAAGATGATGAACATTGATGTCACGATGCAGCCTGAGAGCCAACTCAGCCATGCAAGGAGACACTTCAGCACCAAATGAGAGCAAAAATTAAGTGTGAACTCTTAGAAAACTAGCCCACCGCACCTTTTCTCCATCCCTTGCAACTTGCTTACCTCCTGTCCTCTTACTGTTCCCCATAGTCTCATGCTTGTAACGAAGTATTCATCTTCTTTCCTGACTCATTCCCTAGATGCTTGTGTTTTAGCTTGACTTCCAGAATCTTCTGGTCCCTACCTTTCCTGCCTGACATGACTTTCTTCTTGCCTCATTCACTTTGATTCTGATGCACTGGCTTTAAGTCACCGCTCTGATGTTTTGTGATTCTGTGATTCCTCATTTACTACTTCCTCTCTCTGCTCTTATTTCCCCCTTCTTCCAGCATGTGCTGCAGAAACACAAAGATAATACTTTCTTGGGTCAGGTATTAACAGTCATGTTTTATTACAAATAGCATTGCCCACTAAAAGCATTAACGGCATTAATATATTAACCTTTTTTATTTTATTCTCAATAGAAGACTCAATAGAAGAGGTAACTGCAAGTCATCCACAGGTTCTTTCCATTCTTGAGGAGACTATACACACAGAACATATAAACTTTGAACAGCCATATGAAAAACATGCTGAAATCTTAGAGGAAGTTCTCACAGAGGTAAAAAAAAAAAAATCCAGTCTTAATTTTTATCATTGATTTAACCAAAACTAAGAAAATGTCAATCTAGTGTAATTATTTTATCCAGCCTTAATTTTTATCATTGATTTAACCAAAACTAAGAAAATGTCAATCTAGTGTAATTATTTTAGAGTCTTATTTTACAGTATTGAAATTTGTAACCTTCAAATTTATGTACATGTTGTAGTCAACATTGTTGTGTAAAATACCCCAGTGAACAATTGCTAGTGCTCTTTGGTAAATTTTCAGTTATCAACAAAATTATGTAATATAATTTTATAGCTTTGAAATTAATTCTTTATTAACTTTTGTTGTCTTTGATTCAGCTCACTTGGTTAAACGATGGTGTATAGAAAGCCAGTACCAAAGCTAGATATTTCATCTTTGAGCTAATTAGTCAAAAACCAAGACAAATTTTGCTTCCTGGTTAATTAATTTCATCCAACCACCTTGAATATGTGTTTGTAGGGGAGATGGGTGGACACATGAGAGATTTTCCAGTCTAAGAAGGAAAAAAATCTCAAATGCTGTCCTACCTTTCATTTATAAAGAACAAGATATTCAACAAGTCTGTTTTGTACAGAGCTCTCAGGTAAGCATTCAGTGCAAAAGTCAAAGACAAAACACATTAGTTTTGGACTCTCAATGAACTTCTGTATTTCTCTGTGATTTAACTTAAAATTATTATGTGAAAAGAAAAAAATGATTACATAAGCATATAGCTAGAACCGCTCTATAGCACATTGGGAAGTTTCCTCCAGCTCGGGGCTCTATCAGTCTCCCTGACTCTCGGTTCCCAAGGCTCCCTCTTGGGAGCTTCTCATGCAGACCTTTCAACAACTTCCACATCTCTTCAGGTTGCTCTGTCATCAGTTTATTCCTTCGGAAACATTATGAGCACCTACTATTTGCTTTGTACTGTGTTAGGTACCAGGAATCTGAAAATGAATTAAGCACAGCCATTTCCTTTAAGGAGCTCTCAGTCAGGTGGGGAAGATTGAACTGACAAGTAAACCAATAACTGACTCATCATGTGCTCAGAGGCAAATAGAGATGTACAAGGTGTAGAAATTCTAAGAAGGTTGGAGCTATCATGTCTGCCTGGGTGGTAAGACAAAGCATCCCAGAGAAGGAGACATGCAAGTGAGGGATGTGTTTGGGATTGTGGAAGTCCCATCCTTGCCCTTGATTGAACATTTTCTCCATTCTCTTCAGAGTTTATTCTGGAGGATACAAGTCTACAGTGAGTACTTCACTTCTGATACAGGAATATAAGTAGATGGTAAACTACAGCTCTGGGATCATAGGGGAGTTTAAATCACATGAGATTTTTAACATCAAAGCTCATATCAGATTGTCATTTCTCAAGAGACCAGAGACCTGTGCAGAAGACTGTTTTACCTGTCATCAGTTTCCGTGATCTGTATGATGAGGAAACCTATTTTTCACAAGCAGCTATAGATATGCTCCTTTGTGAAGGGCCTGTCCAAGTCATTTGCCTATGTTGTTTTGGGTTTTGTTTTCTTTTTTTTGTTTGTTTAGATTATTTGTCTCCTTTTTGATTTATATTTCTTTATGTATTCTGTCTTTTGTCTTTTTCCGTGTCCGGCAACGGATCGCAACCCTCAGTGTTGCCCCCGTACCGGACCGGGGACCGGCAACGGGATCGCAACCCTCGGCGTTGCTCCCGCGCCTCGCTCAGCCAGTGAGCGGGAACCGGTCTGTATGTGGGATCTGAACCCTCGGGCGGGAGCGCCGCCACGCTTCCCAAGTGGCGCACTTATCCAGTGCGCCACCGGGCCGGCCCTCTTTATGTATTCTGAATATGAGTCCTTTGTTGGATATTTTGCAATTATCTTTACAAATATGTTCTATCTTAAGTAATACAAGTTTGTTTTAATGATGTCCAATTTATTAACTTTTTCTTTCACAATTAGTGCTTTTTCTGTCCTGTTTCAGAAATATTTACCTACCCAAGATCAGGAAGATAATCTCCTAGGTTTTTTTCTAGAAACTTTGCTTTATCTTTCATATTTATATCTAAGGTCCATTTAAAAAAAAATTTTATCATCACACAATGTAAGCATTTTTTGTGGCCCTTTGCCAGTTTCTCCCTAACGCCCATCCACCTTCCCCTTTCCCACCTCTGGTAGCCTCGGTTCCATTCTCTTCTAGGTCCATATTGAATTAATTTTTGTGTATCCAAGAAAATATCAAAGTGACTACTAAGCATATGAAAAAGGTACTCAGCATCATTAACCATCAGAAAAATACAAATTAAAACCACAATGTGAGGGTCAAGGTTCGCTTTTTCTAGTACATGTACCTAATTTCTCTACCACCACTTATTGAAAAGAACACCTTTTCCCACTACCATAGAACAAGTGGCTGTATATTGTGGTCTGTTTCTGGACTTTTTGTACTGTCCTATTGATCTTTTTTTATCCGTGCCAGTGCCACATGTCTTAACTACTGTAGCTTTAAAATAAGTCTGGAAATCAGGTAGTGTGAATCCTTCAACACCCTGTTTCTCCTGTCATTGCATCCTTCTCTGTATAAAGCATTATGTTTTGTTCTGCTTCTTCAAGATTATCTTAGCTGTTATATATTCTTTTTACTTCTACATAAATTTTAGAATCAGCTTATCAATTTTCATACACACACACATGCACACATCTCTGTTGGGATTTTGATTGGGCTGCATTGCATCTGTAGATATACTTGGTGAAAACTACCAATTTCACAATATTGAGTCTTCTAATCCATGAATATAAAATACCTGTACTTTATCTTGGTCTTCTTTAATTTTTCCCAGTATTGTTTTGGAATTTTCAGAGTAGAGGTCTTCAACTTCTCTCATTAGATTTATTTCTAGGTATTTGATGTATTTTGATGCTATTGTAAATGATACTGTGGTTTTATTTTCCGATTTTTTTTGCAACCATTTTTTAATTCCATTTTTCATATGTGTCTCCTACTAAATTCTATTTCTTATTTGACACTCACAGTTCATGTGCAGAACAGATCTGACTGATGTACTTGGGCCTAATGTGTGATCCAGACCAGAGAAAGCAAATAGGTTTTATTTCATTTGCCAATTGATCAATTATGTATGGATCCCTGGAGTGCTGGGTTAGAGTGGATTCTGAAGCCACGACTGACTTTTGGATTCTTTTAGAATTATAGTTTAACAACATTTTAAAGCCTTTAAAATACAGAAATAATGATAGCTATAATTTCTATCATGTGAAGAGAAGAGTCGCTCCCTTGCTGTGGAGAATGTTCAGAAATGTTTTCTCCATACCAAACCATTCGCACTTTACCTGCTTTCCACCTTCACTAGCTACAGAGCACACAAGGGAAGCAGAGGCTGGGAGACGCTCGGGACCTTTCTCGGCAGAACCTATCTTCTCTGCTCCTGTTCCTTGCACACTGACTATATGAAAGTTACTTTCCCAGCACCTAACAGGAAAATGGTAGCAATATCTAGGGGAATGGGCCTTTTGTGTCAAACCTACCACCATATGTTTTCAAGCTGAAGTCTGTGACCTGTTGTCCACCTGCACATCTAACCACAGCCTAGTTCTCTTGTCACTGCATTCTCTGTGTCATACGTCATGTTTTGCTCTGCTTCCCTCTCCACATGGTTTTCTCTCTAACATCTCTACCTCGCTATTGGTGTCCATTTCTGCTCTGTGTCTGTGTCCTTGGCACAGTCATTATGTCTTCCTGTACCTCCCATATCTATCTGAGTCGTGTCCTACTTCCTCTGATTTTCCTGCAGGAAAAAATAAACATTTTATTAAGTTAAAATCACAAAAAGATGAATGAATACTGTATAAAAATGTTATACCATTTTTATAAATATTATTTTGTCTTGCTCACTCCTCCCCTGAGGATGTCAAAAGAAATTGTCACTTTTATTTTTGGCCTGTCAAATACCTTAAAGCCCAATTTTATGATTCCCTGATGACAGCTGGGCTGGACACAGATTTCCCAGGGCCCTCATCACTCCTGCTTTCCCCCCAGGCGCAGTCTCCAGACTCAGACCCCGCCACCCATCTGCTTGGCCACACGCTCTGGGATTCTCTAGGATATGAAATCCTAAGGAAGGCTTCTACCTTCTCCCCACAATTCTCCTAACTGGGGACTCACCCTCAATAGATTCCGAGAGTAAAGACGTTGTTGCTGATATATCCAAAACTTGCATCCTCAGGTACTAAGTCCTCAAATCTTTCTTCATTTCAGTGAAGTTTCCAGGACTCAAGCAGCTTGGGCTACTTCAGTGATGGTGGCATCTCTTCTTTCAGCCACCTCTTTCCTGAAGCCGTGGGAAGTGTCCATAATGTTTCCCTTCTCTCTTCCCTTACTCCAATATTTTTCAATGTGAGTCCTTTTCCATCTGCATCAGAATCACTTGGGATAAATTAAAGTCAGAAAGACAACTTCTGCATTCAGCCCCTAGAAACTCCCCCCAAAAGAAGGAGATCAGAGAGCCTGGCTCTCTTCTCAGAGTGAGGATGGGAAAAGTACAGCAAGAACAAGCACAAATTAATATCTCAATAGATTATCTTGTCACATTAAGGATGGCAGAATATGTTTTTAGCAAGATAAAAAAAAAAAAGGTCTAGCTTAGGGCTGCAGACCATATATTGTTAAAGTCAGAAGCAAGACAATGATATTCCTATCACAGCCATTATAATGACTTATGAAAATTTTAGCTATATAAAATGCCTTGAAACATAAATAAGAGGAATAATTATTGGAAGAGGACAAATATAATCATCTTTGCAGTTGATACTTTTTATTCTAAAAATATTCAAGAAAATAACCTAATAAACAGTAAGAGCTAATAAGCATGTTCAGAAATGAGGTAGCCAAAGAAATAAAAAAATTTATACCTGACTGGAGCATAAACATAAAATAACTAATAATAAGCTTGAAATAAAGATGAGGGATCCACATAAATAAAATTATTAAACTTTAAATGTAAGCATAAGCAGATGTCGACAAATAGAGACATAATTTATTATATGTAAAGATAAAATCTTATTAAGATGTGTTTCTCAATTTAATTTACAGATTTGATGCAGTTCTAGTAAAAATCTGAGTATTTTAAAAACTGACAACATGACTCTAAAGTTTATTTAAAAGAACCAATTGTTGAGACTAGATAAAATAGTTTAGCAAAGAAATTATGATAGAGGGAGACTCGTTCTACCAGCTAGTAAAATGTGTCGTAATGCTACAATGGTATATATGCCTCGTAGTTATACAAAAATTAACAGAACCACAGAGAAGGTACAGAAACAGACCTCAGTACAGATAAATATTTAGTATATGCTAAAGATTGCATCATAATCCAAAGGGAAAGAAAAAATGATTTAATAGTGTTGACAAAATTAACTGTTGGAAAAAAGCTATTTAAATTTTCACCTTATATCAAAATAAAAATAAATTCCATATAAATTAAATAGCTAAATGTAAAAATAGCATTTTATTTAACTCCAAGAAAGTATAATAATCTTAAAATAATCTTGGAATGGTTGAGGACTCTAGGGACGAATGCAATGGAAGAACTCTTAAGGAAGAATCTCAATGGAGAAGCTATTTAAAAATGAATCTCTATAAAAAAAATCATGAAAGTCAGAATTTTAAGGCAAAGGTTAGGAAGAGTGAAAATTGGTGCAGATGTTTTGGGCAGCAATGTGGCAATGTGTATGAAAAGCCTTTCAAATGTTCACTCTTTTATTCCCTTTGACCTGAAAACATGTCTTCTAGGAATCTAACCTAAAGAAATATATAATATTTGGACAAAGATTTCTGTATAAAGATGTTCATCACTTTTTATATTATAAATGATATAAATATTTAACAGTAAGGGAATGATTAAACAAATTAATATTTATTAATTTGACAGAATACTATGAACTTTTTTCAAAAAGTTAAATGAGGTGGAGAAATTATAAATTATATCTCAATGCTGTTTTAATTCTGTATCTTTGGAACTTGGACAGTAAAATTTTTATTAGCCATCTATATTTCTTCTTCACAGTTTTCTCTTTTCCCCCTAATTCTCTTATGTTAAACATTTCAAAGTGTTTAAAATTCTTTTTTTCAAAAGACAGTTCATTCAGATAAAAATTCAAAAAGCAGGTAATCTTAAATTCTGCCTTTGCCAGAGGGTTTTCTAATCTTCTGTGACTGGCTGAGGGCACACAGATTTGTCTAAATCCCTCGAAATTGGTATATTCGAATATCTACATTACTAATCTCCACATTTGTGTTAAAGTTATTGCTATGGGGGGGAGGGGAGGCATGAGTTTAGCAGATCTCCCTAAGCATCTCCAAGATTTGTTTTGACCCAATTCCTTCCTACTGCTATTAATACCCATCTTAGTACCTCTCAGTTCTCCACTGAGGGATGAAAAGCAAAAGGGAAGTGAGTGTTTAGAGGCATGAGTTTAGCAGAACTCCCTAAGCATCTCCAAGATTTGTTTTGACCCAATTCCTTCCTACTGCTATTAATGCCCATCTTAGTACCTCTCAGTTCTCCACTGAGGGATGAAAAGCAAAAGGGAAGTGAGTGTTTTTACTAAAAAGGCAAGCTTCACTAGGGCCTTGCTACTCTAAGAGTGGCTCATGTACCATCATCCCCTGGGAACATGTTAGAAATGCAGATTCCAGGCACCACCCCAGACTTTCTGAATCAGGATCTGCATTTTGTGACACTGGATAATATATAGCAAAAATGTACTATTATATTTATTTAATAAAGGCTTTGGCTTTCTGTTCTTAATTTTTTTTTTTTGCAGCTGGCTGGTACAGGAATCAAACCCTGGACCTTGGTGTTATCGGCACTTAACCTTTAAAACTTTCGATGTTATTGTTTTAAAATTAAGTTGCCAAGTTGCTCTCTTTTTTTCCTTCTGCAAGACAGAAGAACTCAAAAGATACTTGTTTAAGATCCATAAAAATGACTTATCAAGGTAGTATCCTTGACTCATGGAGCTATGGCAGTAATATTAGTGTGCAATTTTTTCACAGGTAATGGAGGAAAACAAGAATAGATTTTCTGGTGCCCCAAAATATGGAGGATGGATCGTGGATAACTTCCCTATTGTAAGAGAACTGTGGACAATCTTAAATGAGAAAGGACTTGTACCTGATTTGATAATCTGCTTATCAGATACAGAAAACAATGGTTGGTAAATATTTATCACATAAATTTGAAAGTAAAGTTGTTATTGCTGATAATATTTTGGGTTAAAATATAGAATGGAAAACTCTCCACTTTCCCTAGGTGCAAATACGACCCCAGCAATCCCTGCAGGAGCTAGAGGTACACAAAATGAGGCTTCCATCCAAGGAAGAGGTGGCCAGAAATCATGTGCTGGAGCTCTGAATGTTCTAGCGGGCCTTTCTAATTGTTCTTTGGAGCTGAGAATTTAACACCCCACTCCCAGACAGCAGCTATACCTTCTAAATTAACAATATATAAGACTGAGGATGAAGAATGTATATTTGTTTTTCTTCACCTCGTGTGAGAAAAATTAGGCACAAAAAGATAGCAGAGCTAGGGCCAGCCCCGTGGCTCACTCGGGAGAGTGCGGCGCTGCTAGTGCCAAGGCTACGGGTTCGGATCCCATATAGGGATGGCTGGTGTGCTCACTGGCTGAGCATGGTGCAGACCACACCATGCCGAGGGGTGCGATCCCCTTACCAGTCCAAAAAAAAAAAGATAGCAGAGCTAAATTTTAATTATTCTGTCACTTTGCCTCTGAAGGAAATATATTTGAAATGAGAGTTTCCAGAGGAAAAATATAATATACTACCTCTTTTCATGTTTTAGTTATTTATATTGTACTAATATATACCGTTTTTGAAAGGGCTGAAGGTGGCCTATTAATATTTTAAAGAATCTGGGCTCCATTTAGATAAGTGCTTAAAGGAAAATATATTTGGGTATAGGTGGAAATTATTTTTTTGTTAATTCCCAAAATATATCTTACTCTATTTTATAAAGCTTCGAAAATAATATTACCTTTTTCTGTATTTCAGGAAAATGTTTGCTTAATAGAATATACTTAGAGAATAAACCTGAAATTGACTCTAAGATTTTAGAAAGATTATTAGAAGAACTACAAAACAAAAAAAAAGAAGCAGCAGCAGCAGCAAGGTAAATCTGCCTAAAGTGATAAAACAGATTAATGTCCCTTTTATAGTTGTTAAATATCTTCTTACTGTTTATACTTATGAAATGTCTTTAATATCAAAACAATAGTCTATTAACTAAATCTGATTCTACATAATTCTAAGAAAAATGGTAATTTCACAAATACTTCCAGAATCTCTAAAGTACACAGTTGTGGATGTTTTCACAGCCCATATCAAACATATTTTAAATCTAGCATCTACTGTCAAAAGACACTTAAAAAAATGAGCGCAGGTAAGAGATATGTGTTGTTCTTTTTTTACCATATTTATCTGTGACTTAATTTTGTTAACTAGTATCCACAAATTGAAGAAATAATGTAATAGGAAGTAAATGAAAATACACTGTAGTAGATATGATTAAACCCAAAGCCTGACTAATTTCTACATAAGGAAAGAACAAGACTAGTTATTTCATATTTGACAGGCTTAACATCGAGGGCTTATTCTCTAATCTGAGTGAATGAAGAACTTTTAAAAATGTGAACACATATTTATGTTCATGGCTGGGTCAAGACTAAACTTTAATAAACTATACAGTTTTTGAAAGGGGAATGAAATATAAAAAGGAATAGTGACTAATTTGCTAGTTACAGGTAATTCTTCCTTGCTGAAACATGCTCTTCAAATACTTTAAATTTTAATTTGTTCACTGGGATTTCTTCTTCTCAAAGTGATAAAGGCCTATACTTTTAAGAACTAAATACTTAACCCACTAAACCTCCTACTATTGATGATAGTACCTATAAGGAGCTTTCTCAAATGCTATTTCCTTTCCCCCTTCAGATATTAGCAATTTGAGCTGGGATTTGATTTAGGAGAGCTCTTTAAACTCTAGAAATCATGAAGCTGGGTGGTGGGTCACTGTGGAGGTTTTGGGGAGAGGTTAACTGATATGTGTGTGCCAGAGGATTTTTTTTAGTGTTTATTATCCACCTAAGTTAGTCATTCCTTTAGGAACTTAACAAAAATATATGAAGTATAATTTACTTAAATTAGTTAATAAAATTATTGTTTGTTATAGTAACTAAAAAGTATTATTAATTCAGACAATAATTACAGACTTATTACATTTACTTTTAGCTTTTAAATTTTTGTTACAAATAAAGCTACAATCTGCTAATATTTTGTTACAGTGTATGAGAAATAGTCAGATATTTGAGAACAGATGAAGATCCTGACATGAGTAAAACAAAATTCATGTGATTTCTAGATTAAAGTTCTGCTACATTTTAAATAGATAAAAAATATATACACCTATAATTGTTTTTAGAAAGGAAAAGATATATCCCCCACTTTCTCCCAACTCTACTGTCTCTTTTGCCATATGGAATTTTCCATATGATTATAGAATTTCTTTTTTTTTTTTTTCCTTTTTGTCTTTTTTACTGACCGGCAATGGGATCGCAACCCTCGGTGCTGCGCCCACACCGCGCTCAGCCAGTGAGCTGGAACTGGTCTCCACATGAGATCCGAACCCTTGGCGGGAGCACCGTGCCACCGTGCTCCCAAGCGGTGCACTCTCCAGTGCGCCACCAGGCCGGCCCATGATTATAGAATTTCTATGCCACCATGCTCCCAAGCGGTGCACTCTCCAGTGCGCCACCAGGCCGGCCCATGATTATAGAATTTCTATAATCAATTTTTACTTCTTTTGATTCTAGATGTTTACATCTTTATAAACTTCATAATGTAGACCACTTGCTCAGATTGAAGCAGGCTTTTCTGTTTTTAAATGTTGATTTTTAAAATCTAACACGAGCATTTCAAAACAAACTTTTTTCGCATATATTGCAGAAAATGAAATCTAAGACAGTTAAAAAGAAAAAGCAGTCAGAGACTCATTTAGAGTCCTTACAAGATGGTTAGAATAGAGATAAGCTTAACAGGATTAAGTATGATATCTTGGGTCAAATATCTAAAGACATTCTGAATTCTACAACTTTTCCAGCATCAGTTCCAAATGTGCCAGTCAAATGGCAAGATAACTTCTGTCATCGTTGTTTGTCTTTGGATCTTCTATCAAAGTGGTTTATGGAATTTTTTAATAACTGGCAGCAAAATTCTTCCTTGTTCTGGTCAGCAATCTACTTTGTCCAGGTTTTGGATAAGGAAGAACTCTCAAAAGAGCCCTGTCTGAACTAAGTAGAATGACTGCCAATTTGCACACAGTCAAACTAGGGAAGGAGTTCAGAAACAGTACTCAGTAGTCTCAGAGGTCTGGGTCATGAACCAAGAGAACTGAATTTACATCAAGACTTCAGGCTGGAAGGCAGGATTTCGAATCCATTGAGAACGCCCTCTCTAATAAGTAATAGAGCCATTGGGAGAGGAGGTGTAGTAATGTCTTCTAAAGAAAATGTATGTCACTAGCTTTCAAAGGAAGGGAAAGTGGACACGAATCACACTGAATATGAGGGCGAATCCATTGAGAACGCCCTCTCTAATAAGTAATAGAGCCATTGGGAGAGGAGGTGTAGTAATGTCTTCTAAAGAGAATGTATGTCACTAGCTTTCAAAGGAAGGGAAAGTGGACACGAATCACACTGAATATGAGGGAATGACAGGTCTTAGGAAAGCTGCAGCCTTGTGCCGGCGCATGAATGAGCTCCTCTTCACTTAACTAGTCCTTTATTGGTGAATATGTGATATAGCTTTCTGTTATAATTTTTAAAAGATAAAATCAACTTTTTAATGTATGTTCCTTTGTGCAGTAGTATGCCTATTTCTGAGGGCTAAATTCCTAGACATAGAATTTCTAAGTGAAAGGCATATATATTTTAATTTTAAATAAATACTGCCTTTCTTCATTTACCAACTTTCCCTATACCTGTCTTCACCATTGTTAAGGAAGATTTAGTGCCTCAACTCTAATGAAAAACAGATTCCCTCCAGATATTTAAATTTTCATATTCCAGGTCTCCTGAATTTCATCATTATTGTGTTAAACAGAAAGTAATTAGGATTTTTTTCTGATTAGAAAGATAAATTTACAAATTTTCTATTTATTCAATATAGAAACATTTTTAAAAGCAAAAAAGTTAAAGAAAATTAAAAACTCTCATAATGCCACCATCCAGAGATAATCAGTTAAGTCTGATTAGTTTTATCCTAGTCTTTTAATCATCACTTGTATTAATTTTAAGTATAAAATTAAAATTGTGTTGTACATACAGTTTTATACTCTACTTTTTTCACTGAACATTATATTATGAACATTTCCCATTTAACCAGAAGAAAAATGCTACAGATTCTCCCATTTGCCTTTTCAACTTAAAGTTAAGTCATCCTTTATTAATTTTGACAGGTTATTAAATTAATAGCCAAAGTTTTCAAAATATAACATTCCAGTTTTTCTTATTAAAAAAAAAAACAACTAACTGACCTCCACATGAGTAACTTAAAATTTTACATTATAAAGTAAAAGTGTGATGGATATTATAAACAAATTATTCTTTACTTTTCCACTATAAGCATTATTCCTATAATATTGTGAGATGTCTGAATTTCCAGAGATAATTAAATTCTGGACCTTTTCATTTCAGAGAAATCAAAGAAGAAGCATTGAGAATAGAAGAAGAAAATCAAAGGCTATTGGAAGAGATGAATGAAAAAGCAAAAGGCAAACACAGATTGATATGACTAATGATGTTCCATTTGATTTTGTTTTGTTACTGCCAGCCATTGTAGTATTTCAAGTGAATTATAGACAGGGTGATCACATGTTTTCCCATGGAAGTCCATGGTCCTGTAGTACTTGTGGTATCTTCTTTCATTATCAAAGTGTTCCAATTTGGTTAATAAACTGTATAGTCACTGGAGTAATGGATTCATAGGAAAAAGTCTCCCGACATAGACACCTACTTGTGCATCCTTTAAGAGGAATACACAGTAGAATACCTGCTCAGCATGTCTTTAAATGGTTGCTCTTGTCACGGGTGACACATGGCTGTTGGTATCACAGGTACTCCTATTAGAAAGCTCATGCAAAAGAGGAGAAAACAGCCAAACTCTTACTATACCCATTGTCTTTACACTTAAACTTCCATCTTCATTAGAGAAGAACTTACCCTAACAGTTTCTTTTAGGACTAAAGTTCTTAACCTGGAGTCCACGGATAAAACTCAGAGGTCTATGAACTTCAATGGCAAAATAATTACAACTTTATTTTCACTAACTTTAACTGAAATTTAGTATTTCCTTCAACTAGTAACTAATACAGACAACAAACCCCAATAGTATTAGCAGTACCTTGACTTTGTCACCAACAGAAATGAGGATATTTTCATGTCACATTATAGTTTTATATATCTTCTTGTCACTTATCACTGTTCCAAATTATAGTAGTTATTAAACCAGCTGCTAGTTCTTGTTCTTTAATACATTTGCAAAAGATGCACAAATTTCCTATAGCACAAAATTTTTTATATCTTGATAACTGTATTTTGATATAGTTGGTTTATTATGTATTTTACTTTATGAGTTTGAAAGCATTATTCTGAGAAGAGGTCGGTAAGTTTCACCAGACTGCCAAAGGGATCTGTGGCTCAAAAGAGCGAACAGTGTCTGCTTCAGTTTTCCACTGATGTGCAACCCCAAAACTCAACGGTGTAAAACAACCACCATTTTTATTACACACGTGGTTCTGTAGGTCAGGACATTGGGCAGGGCACAGTGGTATCAGCTTATCTCTGCTCCCTGAGCACCTTGGTGTTCTGGCTTTGTGTCATCCAGTTGGAAGTGGATCCTGCAGCCCCAGTCAAGCCTTGAGTGACATCTGATCGACATCTTCACTACATCTTCGTGAGAGACCTTGAGCAAGAACCACTCAGCTAGGCCACTCCCAAATTCCTGACCCACAGAAGCTGCAAGGATACTGTGTGATGATTGTTGTTTTAACCACTAAATATTGGGGTAATTTATTATGAATTAATAGGTAACTAATACAACACGTAATTATTATTATTATTATTATTTCAATTCAAGGATCTTAGAATACTTTTCAATCCATTCCTGACTTGTATGGTACACAGATTATCCACTATGGCTTTAGAAAAGAAGATTTGAAGTTTTACATTTTTCTGCCATTATATACATTATATATATATATATATGTTTTATAACATACCTAATATGGATAAGAATATGACCTGTAAATAAATAAATATACATGTATTAGATATATGTGATAATTTTTTTCTATAAGAGATTTACAGTCAAATTTAAATTTCTTGTATAGACCATATAACTTCATCCAAACCATAGTAGGATACAGCAAGTGCTGCTTCATCCTTGTGTGTATTATCAATAAGACCTCCATCATCACACAAAAAGACTCAGGACATTCCAGGTCACATACTTGGAAGCCACATGCACTGTATTTCAGCTTCAGACCTATATATAAGGATGCTTCAGGATGCTTTTCTCTGGGCACTTAACCATCCAGACTTAGATCAAAATTCAAATGGTAGAAGCATATCATACCACTAGAATATGATTCTTGGAGGTGCTCACTAGGGGAAGAAATTCCCACAAGAGTTCAGAAAATAAGCTCATTTATTAGTCATCCATATAATCTATGCATGTAAAATATCTTGTTTTCCATTTTCATAAGTATATAATGTCAATTTCATAAGTATGTGAAAGGGAGTTTGGGAGATGGGTTTTCTGACACCACCATTCACGCCATTTTCTTCCTGAAAGAGTTCCATGCATATATTTCTTACACTGGTCATCAGAAACTACATAAAACTTGGAGTTATGTTTTTCAAATTTACCTTTAACATATTTTTAACATACCATATCATTTATTATTTTTAATTAGCTATAAGAAAATCTATCATTATATATAGATAGTCTAGCTTGGTGCTGCCCAATATAAATATATAATGTAAGCCACATATGTAACTAAATTTTCTAGTAGCTATATATTTTACATTCACTTTTTCATATTAAACCTTTAAACTCATTGTATATCTTATACTTACATTATATCTCAATTTGCACTAGCCTCATTTCAAGTGCTCCATAGCTACATATGGCCAGTAGCTACCGTATTGGACTTTGCAGATCTAGCATTCCCTTACTGAATGGATGTTGAGCTGTTTCCAGTTTTTTACTGTTAGAATATTTGGGACTGCTATAAACATTTCCTCTTTTGAATGAACACTTAGGCTGGTGCTCCCATAGCACTTTGAGCAGATGGCTATCATCCTTTACCACTACATTTTAATAGGTATAATGTATAGATAATTTTTCTGCCTCGCCCATTAAGCCACATACTCCAGGAGGGCAGGGACCATTCCTTACTCTTTGTTTTGGCCTCAGCACTTATCAGTGCCCAATAAATATTTGTTGATTTAAACTGAATGAGAATTTATTTATTCCAATTTTTTCTAGAAGCTGACAAAGCTGATAATGAGGCTGAAGAGGAGATTGAAGGTGAGGAGTCTGAAGTTCATGAAGGGTCTGAGGTACCTGAGGTATTCGAGGAAAACAGAGGGACATTGTTACCTGATGAGCCTGAAGTGTCTGAGGTCCCTGAAACAGAACTTGAATCAGGTTAGACTTTATCGAGGGCCAGGTCCTTAATTCTCCTCATGTCCGTTTGTGTGTTTGTGTGGGCATGGGTGTGTGCATGTATATATGTTAGTAAAATGGAAGGGGGCTAAGAACGGAAAGATGACCCCAGGGAGCAGCCAGCTCGTTCACATCACATGATTTGAGAGGTGGTAGGAAAGCTGAATGTCCTTGCTCCAGTACCGGCACTCAGGAGCTGGGCTGGCTACAGAATTTGTGGGGCACGTTGTTCAAAAAGCAGGAAAAAGGTGCCATTAAAGGACTAAAATATAAAGCTGTAGTATCCTACTGAGGATACTACAGTTGAAACATGGTCTCTTTCTCAACTTGTTATGATATTTTTATGTGCTATTTAATGTTGTTCTATGTAAAGAAAAACTAAAATTTTAAATTATTAGCATAAATTTTACACTTATCTTTATGTTATCCAATGCCATTTTTAAATGCAAATATAAGAGCATTTAATTCATGTAATCGAAAACTGTTTTCCTGGATGATATACATATTTCACATAAAGAATCGATAAAATTACATTATTCACATTTTACAACTCATACATACATATGTATTTTATTCTTACCACAATATTCAGTTAGTTTCTTTCCACAGAACTAACTCAACTTGTTATTTTACTTCTTAATACGCACATATTCTCCAACACTCACCACCTTTAGTTTGCTAATGATTAAGGAAGGGCTGAAAGGAAAGAAGCTCTGGGTTGCCCTGTCCTTTCCTTTTCTTCTGTCATCATTTTCAGCTCAAGTGGTTGGCTATTATAGGAAGGTAACATGAGTAAGAAAGGATATGAAGGGGTTTCTGGGTCATTTGTATCTCTTTGAGTGCCATTGCCTATTTTCTGCACTTGAAGCAAGTTCTGGTTCAAAAGGAAGGTGTGATATCTCAGGGCTGTTAGTGTTCCCCCCTCCACCCACTCGGTCACACTTATTCCTACACATCACAGGGCCGCTGGAATTCTATGCTCATGATGGGGCACCAGGAATGCTCATTTAGTGAGTGTTCATCTTGTGTGGCTTTTCTAGACTGAGGCTAGATCTTCTTCATCCCCAACTAATGCAATCTCTGATTAAACCCAAAAGCTAAGGCAGTTTAGAGTTATCTGTATATTCTCAGTGCTCTTCTTCCTTTTGTCATGGTTGTAATGCTTTTCTCGAGCAACTTAAAATTAAACATGCTGCCACCCGACCAGCCCTGAGCTTGTCCCCTTCTACTTCCTGCTCTATTGAGTATTAAACATTATAGATTGTGTTGAAAGAGGACCCAAGTATTACATTAGCTAACTCAGAAGACAGTTCCCACAGTGTTACAGAGTGGCTGGTGTGTGTGTATGCGTATATGTATATATAAGGTTTTTTTGTCCATGCAAAACTTGTGTCTCAGAATTAGGAGCAGATTGTGGAATGAGAAGATAATTAGTTCTGCCTTCCCTGAAACCATCTATGCTGGATCTTTATGTGAAATATGTATATCATCCAGGAAAACAGTTTTCAGTCTGTACCCTCAACAGTGAAATTAGTTTGAATTCTCCTCAATTTCTCCACACCTACACCCACAGCTGGGACTTTGCAATATCGTTGTCTCTCATTGCCAATTTGTGGTCTTTTGCTGTATCTTCATGGGCATTTTAATGAGAAATTAAAAGGAATATCAGGCACTGCTAGTCTGATACCATAGTATCAGAAGTTTGAATAATATTTAACAACAGTTTTCAGCCAGAATTGTATGTACCATGTGTCAATTATTATTCTAGTCAATGTCCTTTTCTATATTTAAGAATATTCTTGGGCCGGCCCGGTGGCGCACTGCTACAGTGCACCGCTTGAGAGTGCGGCGGCGCTCCTGCCGAGGGTTCGGATCTCACATACAGACCGGCCGCTCACTGGCTGAGCGAGGTGCAGACGCCACACAGAGGGTTGCGATCCCGTTGCCGGTCCCGGTCTGGTACGGGCGCGACACTGAGGGTTGCGATCCATTGCCGGTCACGAAAAAAGACAAAAAAAAAAAGAATATTCTTCATTTTATGCTTTAAACTATTAAGTATTTTATGCCATTTTTTTACCTAATGAGAACTATGTTTTCCATTAGCCATATTACATACAATTTAAACTATGTCTTGAAATTTTCTTTGTGCCAAAAACTTTCATATAGGAATAATGTCCTAAAATTCCTATGCTAACTATTAGATTCTTTCTTAAGTATCTGAACCTACTGAGGATACTACAGTTGAAACAGAAATTCTAAAAGGATCCAAAGAGGGCCTGGAAACTGAAGAATTATCTGACTATTAAAATAGGGCATAAAGGGCTGGCCCCGTGGTGCACTCGGGAGAGTGCAGCGCTGGGGAGCGCAGTGGTGCTCCCGCCGCGGGTTCATATCCTATATAGGGATGGCCGGTGCGCTCACTGGCTGAGCACGGTGCGGGCAACACCACACCAAGGGTTGCGATCCCCTTACCAGTCACAAAAAAAAGACAAAAAAAAAAAATAGGGCATAAAAGTGCCTTTCATGTTTTCTTACAAAGACTTTCCTGTTTTTCTTACAAAGGGTCTAGTCCCTTATTTTGGGATTACTACCTGCTTCCTACTTATTTCTTCCTATGTTGTATTTGTATTGTATTTATTTATCATATTCTAGTAAAAGTGTATTAGCCAGTTGATTTATATTACATTTATTTAGCTTTTTCTAGTAAGAGTGTATCTAACCAGCTTGTAACACTGATTTTCATCAAATTTTATTTAATATATTTTATTGACAGTTAAAGTTTCCATATGGAACTAATATTAATTATCCAAACAATTTAGATTTATTAATAGGTAATAATTCATCTACAGCCAATACAAGAACCAAAACATAATTAAAATATGAATTTATGAATGTATATTATTGCTTAGAATATTAAGTTTATCTCTTTCAAATGTTTACAAAATATTATAAAGTATAAATTATGTAGGCAAAATGGCTAAAGAAATGATATTTATATTTAAAGACTCTCTTTTCTTTACTTCTTTCTTTACCTTACTCAAAAGTTGTACTACCTGAGTTTCCAGAAGACTCTTATCCTGATGTTCCTGAAATGGAGCCATTTAAAGAGAGGATTAATTCTTTCAGCACCACCTGGAAACAGCTGGAACAAACATTTGATGAGTCTTTCATTCACATTTTAAAGTTGGAGATTGCTGACAAAACTCCAAAGGAACTACTTCAAAAAGTAGTTGAGGCTATGGAAAGTAAGGACTGTAATTATAGCATTTATTATCAAGAGCAGGTGTTAGTAGTAAAAGCGTTTTGAAACTTTAAAATCTTTCTTGATGGTTTATGAAGTAAAACATTCAATATATCCAAGGATGGTATATAAAATATTGAATAACTATCATAGCCCAACTATCTGGCCAATCAGAATAGCCTTGGGGCACAGACAGCATTGGACATACCCGCCAGTTGTCGCATGAAGAATGCGTAAAGGCCTATTTGCATATATATTTAAACTAAGAGATCAACAATAATAATTACTTTTCCTAACCTTTGACTACTGTCATATGCTAATAACCTTTTATTCTAGAAATATTTTCCCCAGTGATTCTTTTTTTTTTTTTGCAGAACCATTTCAGTATGCTGCATGGGAGTTAACCACGGAGGACTACGATGAAGAAACAGAGGACTATCATGCAGAGGCAGAGGCTGTTGATGAGCTAGAAGAAGGAGAAGATGAAGAGGCATGACTCTTTTACTACTACTCATTCGCATTTGGCAAGTCACTGAGAATGTACACATCCAGAGTGGGAACTGTCACTTTCGGACCCCTAGTGAACAAACAGGCATCCCCAATTTGATAAAGGTTTTCACACACATTCTCCCCCCGCCCCAGCTTCACTTGACCTCCTGAAATGTCAGGGCTACTTGGACAGTAAGAAAAAAGACACCCATGAAAAAATAAAAGGAAAAATTGTAAAAGTTTGTCTTATGGAAAAATATATAGATATTAAAGACATAAATACTTTAGAAATTCAACAGAAGTGGGCATTTTATGTAAAAAAAAAAAAAAAAAGCAGTGGCATCTTGAGAAACTGCTTGTACCATAATAATGTGCAGTATTCTCAAGCAGAACAGCTTATATTCAGCTGTCATGTACTCCCTTGGCACCAGAATTTTGATAATCATTCTCATTTGATAGCTACCTACTTCAGGCATCTATCAGTAATAAAAGCAGGAAGTGTTTCCTTTAATTTGGGGCTATACAAATAAAAATAATTTATTAAGTTAGATAAACATATACTTGTAATTAACTTATTGTTGTCTAACTTAAGCCTAAATATATGTGTCAAATGGCAAATGATATGCAGCGTGATTCTGATGACACCTTTCAGTGCTTTATCACTAAGGAACTGGTGAGACTTTTAGTCAGGGTGGCTAAAGGATATGGGTTTTGTCCTGCTTATCTTCAGATTCTCTTCTTCATAAACCTTCTGCCATGTCTGCTATTGTTCTGTGTTCTACTCTGGCCCGCATTAGAATGGTCTCTTGTATTTGCTGGCTATTCTTAAGCTGTCTATAATATTCAATACTTACATTTTTAAGTATGGTCTTCATTAATAACGCAGTAAAAAACTTCATCATTCACAGGGCATTGGGTAGGGTACTAACAAGGGTCAGGAATGGGGAACAATTAGACCTAGAATAAATATTGCAAAGGATCAAACTGCTTCTAAGTAACTTAACTATGTCCAAGAACAAAGCTCAAGAATGTTTGTGGGAATCAATTAAAAATGGATTAAAGACCTAAATTTAAGACCCCAAGCTATGAAACTACTAAAACAAAAAATAGGGGAAACACTATACAAAATGGGAGTGGGCAGCACTTTTTCAGACATGACTACAAAGGGACAGGCAACTAAAGCCAAAATAGACAAATGGGACTGCATCAAACTAAAAAGCATCTGCACAGCAAGGAACACTGTCAACAAAGTAAAGAGACAACCTACAGATGGGAGAAAGTGTTTGCAAACTCTACATCAGACAGGAGGTTCACATCCAGAGTATATAAGGACCTCAAACAACTCAATAGCAAAAAAAAAAAAAAAAACCCAATTAAAAAATGGGCAAAGGAACTGATCATACATTTCTCACAAGAAGACATACAAATGACTAACAGGCACATGAAAAAATGTTCAACATCATTAATTGTCAGAGAAATGCAAATTAAAACCACATTGAGATATCATCTCATGCCAGTTAGAATGGCTTTTATCAACAAGACAGAAAGTAATAAATGCTGGCAAAGATGCAGAGAAAAGAGAACTCTCCTACATTGTTGGTGGAAATGTAAATTGGTACTACGACTGTGGAAAACAGTATCTCAGAGAACTAAAAGTAGATCTACCTTATGACCCAGCTATCCCACTACTGGATATATACCCAAAGGAAATGAAACCAATATATCGAAAAGACACCTGCATTCCCACGTTCATTGCAACACTGTTCACAAAAGCCAAGAGATGGAATCAACGTAAATACTCATCAATGAATGAAAGGATAAAAACAAAAAACTGTGGTATATATACACAGTGGAATAATATTCAGCTATAAAAAAAAAGATATCCTATCATTTGCAGCAGCAACATGGATGGAACTGGAAACGATCATTTTAAGTGAAGTAAGCAAGGCACGGAAAGACAAATACTGTATGATCTCATTTATGTGGAATCTAAAAAAATAAAAGTTCTCATAGAAGTAGAGAGGAGAGTAATGTTACCAGATGTTACCAGAGGCTTGGAGGGGAGGAGAAGTGGTGGATTAATGGGTACAAAACTATGCTATCTACCCTAAGTGAATCATTGTGCAGTATATGCATGTATTGAAACACCACACTGCACCCCACAAACATGTACATGTAAATGTTAAAACTTAAAAGCAAATTTTTTTAAGAATATTTATGGGAATACAAGGTAAAATTTTGGCATCCACTCAGAGATTACCAGACCTGTAAAGAGACAGGAAAATATGACTCATAATGAGGAGAAAAATTGATCAATTGAAACTAATCCAGAACTGACAAAGATGTTATAATGAGCTGACAAGGATATTAAAATAGTTGTTACAACTATATTCTATAAGTCCAAAAAGTTAAGCAGAAGAATAGAAGATCTAATAAAAACCTAAATTGAACTTTTAGGATTGAAAAGTACAATATATGGAAGGAAATATACATTGGATGGGATGATGGTAGTTTAGCCATTGCAGAAGAAAAGATTAGTGAACTTGAAGAAATAACAATAGAAACTATTCAAAATGAAATAACAGAGGGAAAAAAATCCTGAAAAAAATGAGAAGCACATCAGTGATGTGTGGAACAACTTCAAGCAGCCTATTGTGCATATAATTAGAATCCACAAAAAGTGTATGTTGAGGGGAGAGAGAAAAAATAGTTGAAGAAATAGTGGCCAAACATTTTCCAAATTGGGAAGAAATTGCAAATTCTCAGAACCAAAAACCTCAAGGAATCCCAAGCACAAGAAACATTAAGAAAATCTCACCAAGCACATGATATTCAAATTGCTCAAAACCAGTGTTAAAGGAAAATCTTAAAAGCAGCAAAAGAAAACACATGCCACATACACAGGAACAAAGATAAGGATAGTGGCATATTTCTCATCAAAAACAAAGCAAACAAAAAGAGAATGGAGCAACATCTTTAAAGCATGAAGGAAAAAAAAAAAAATCACCCTAGAATTCTATGCCCAGTGAAATTGTCTTTTTAAGACAAAGGCAAATTAAAGATTTTTTCAGACATACAAAAGCTGAAAGAAAAAAGCTAGGCACTGGTGGCTTCTTTAATGAATTCTGCCAAACAGGAAGAAATAACACCAATTCTACCCAAACTGTTCCAGAACACTGAAGAGGAGGGCATACCTCCCAACTCATTCTGTTAGATCAGCATTTTTCCAATACCAAAACCAAAGACTTGAAAAGGAAAAAGAAAAAGAAGAACAAACTACAGACTAATGTCTCTCATTAACATAGATACAGAAATTCTTAAGAAAATTTTAGCAAATCACATCCAAAAATTTACAAAAAGAATAATATATCATGACCAAGTGGGGTTTATCCCAGAAATTCAAGGTTAGTCTAACATCTGAAAAGTAATCAATGAATTCATCATATTAACAAACTAAAAAAAAAAAAAAAAGTTCATCTCAATAGATGTAGGAAAAGCAATTGACAAGATCCAACATCTATTAGTGACTTAAAAAAAAAAAAGAAGAGAACTTCCTCAGCTTGATAAAGGGTATCTATGGAAAATGTAGACCTAACACATAACATCGTATTTAATGGTGGAAGTCTGAATGCTTTTTCCCTAAGATCAGAACAAGGCAAGGATATTCACTACCAGCACTTTTATTCTACATTATACGAGGTTTGGCCACTGCATTCAGACAAGAAAAAGAAATAAAAAGCATCCAGATTGAAAAGGAAGAAGGAGCTATCTTTATTTATATGGTAAGCTGAATAATGAATGGCACCCCAAAGGTGTGCACGTCCCAATCTGTGAATCGTTACCTTGAATGTTACATGTAATGTTCCCTGGCAAAAGGGACTTTGTAGATGTGATTAAATTCAGAATCTTGAGATGAAGAGATTATCCTGGACTATCCAAGTGGACCAATGTAATCACAAAGGCCCTTATAAGAGAGGCAGGTGTTGAGAGAGAAAATACTTTGACGCTGGCTTTTAAGATGGAGAAAGGGGTCATGAGCAGACTCTAGAAGCTAGAGAGGCAAGAAATGGATTCTCCCCTGGAGCCGCCAAAAGGAGCTAGCCCTGTTGACACATTGATTTTAGCCACATAAAACTCACCTTGGGCCTCTGATCTCCAAAGCTGTAAAAAAAAATAAATGCTTGTTATTTTAAGCCACAAAATGTGTGGTAATTTGTTAAGTAGCAATATGAAATTAATACACGTAGGTAGAAAAACTAATGGAATCAACAAAAAAAGGTTTGAGGATATAAAGTCAATATATAGAAATAAATTTTATTTCCATATACATAAGCAATAAACAATCAGAAACTGATTTTTAAATACCTTTTAAAATAGCATCAAAAATATGCAATACTAAGGAATAAATTTGGCAAAAGATATCCAGGGACTGTACACTAAAATCTATAGAACTGTGCTGAGAAAAATCAAAAGTGGCCTAAATAAAATGGGCAGATAGATATACCATGTTTATGGATCAGAAGACTTAATATTGTTAAAATGTCAGTTCTCTCCAAATTTATCTATAGATTTCACATAATCAAAATTAAAAACCCAGCAGACATTTTTGTGGAAATTTATAAGCTGATTCTAACATTCATATGGAAATGCAAAGTGCTTAAAGTAACCAAAACAATTTTTTAAAAGAATAACAAAGGAAGAGAACTAATAGTATTTGATTTCAAGGTTTATTAATTATGAAGCTACAGTTATCAAGGCAGTACCATTTGGTATAAGACAAATAGATTAATAGCATAACAGAGAGTCCAGAAATAGACCCACATATATACAAACAACTGGTATTGACAAATGCACAGAGACAATTCAGTGGGAAAAGGACAGTCTTTTCAAGAAATAGTGCTGGAACACTTGGATATCCATATGCAAAACTTTGAATCAAAACCTTATACGATATACCAAAATTAACTCAAAATGGGTCATAGACCTAAATTTAAAGGTTAA